AAGGAAGGAAGGAAGGAAGGAAGGAAGGAAGGAAGGAAGGAAGGAAGGAAGGAAAAGATTTTTTGATTGAACAAAAGCATGGAGGATCCGCTGCTCCCAGAAGCCATCAATTATTACATGAAATTCCCAGAGCAGGTGTGGGGTTCTTCTCTGAGTTGTTAGAGAAGCCCAAAGCTCCCCCCCACCCCGAAACAGGAAAGGCTAGTCCTATTGCTTTTGGTCACCCACCAGAACTAGATGATAAGACCCTATGGGTAAAGACACACACAAATTGTCTATAGGAAACAGAAATTTAGGTAGAACTCAGGGGACATCTCCTTCCCCATGAGCTCTTCCATGGTGCTGGTGGGTACTATGTAGGTTGTTAAGTGAGAAAAGTCACTAATGGCTTACCCATCTGTGGACCCTGTGTACTAAAATACCAACCTGCCAGGAAAAAATGTGCCCACTGACGTAAGAGTGACATGATTGTTACAGTGAGAACCACTTTCTGGTTGGATTTGAGGCCCAGTCCTCCAGAGGGAAATAGTGCCTGGTCAAAAGCCAATAGCTATGAAGGTCATAGGCCCTAGTGAAGACCCTATTGAAGAACTAGTAAAGAACTTGCATTTATCAAATGGATTTGTTTATGCCCACAGATTTTGTTTATACCCATAGAGCAGTGCTGCTCTCAGTCTTGATTGGAGACTTCATTTTGCAATGGGTGGAAGTAAAGGCAGAAATTCATAACTGATCAAACCACTAGGAATTGTTGACTGTTGAGTTCTGAGCCTTAAATGGGATATGTAAAGCACCCCTCAGTGAATACCCTAGAGGAGGAAACACAGAGAGAACCCAAGGATGGAGGGAAGTGCAGTGAAACTCTCTTCTGGAATGATGCGACTGTTGTACACTCAAACGTGCAGAAGCTGTGCTTAGCCTGCACAAGAGCTGCTCCTGGCTGTGCCCATTAACCTAACGTCTTGCAGTTGGGAGTGTCTCATAAGACCTCATATCCCCCTGAGGAGTCATAGGCCATTCATGATTGCTAGGAGAGGAGGAGCCATGTTCCTCAGCGGTGTGCCCACTAAATTGCTCTTGCAATTTAGTTAACAATCCCCACCTATGTCTCTGCAAGCAACCCTCATGAGATGCAGTGGACCATGCATACACACATAAAGGACATGAAAACAGGAGACAGTCTTGTTGGGAATAAAGGGTTTGGGGGAGTGAGAGGAGGGTAGGAGGATAATGAAGAAAATATGATCAAAGTACATATTATATTTATATGTATATAGTTGTGAATGAATAAATAATAAAGAGGGGAATGTTCAAAATAGTTTAAAAGAAAATTGTTGACCTTTAACTAACAAACGCCTATACATTAGAACATCAGAAGCTGCAGAACATCACAGAAATGTATTAGACCTTTGAGGACAGACTTAATGCAATTGTGTTAGCATGCTTATTTTTGCTGTACCTTCTTTATGTTACTAAAAACATGAACTCTCAAAAAGGGAGAAAGAAGTACGTTGTTAATTTGAAAACGTAAATAGAAAACAGAAGTAACTCTATTAATGTCGTACAGAGCTGACTTTGGAGTAAGGTAAGTTATTGGGAGTTAAGGGGGGCACCATATAAGGAAAAGGTAGTTAACACAATCCTGAACATGGACATGCCTACCAACAGAGCCTCAAAACACAGAATAGAAAACAAAAATACATTAACTATTTCTTATATCTTCTATGAAAACTATAGGCCAGCAAGATGGCTCAGCTGCTGCCAAACCTGTGTAGAATTAAGTTCCATCCCACGGACCTACTTAATAGAAGAAGAGAACAGATCTTAGAAGTTGTCCTCTAACCTCTGTCTCTCTCTCTCTCTCTCTCTCTCTCTCTCTCTCTCTCTCATCTGTCTCTTTCGATTTTTCTTTTGTGTAGCCCTAAACGTCCTCGAACTCCATCTGTAGCCCAGGCTGGCTTCGAACTCACAGAGATCTGCCTGCCTCTTCCTCCTGAGTACTGGAATTAAAGGTGTGTGCCACCACTGCCTGGCTCACATCTTTTTTTTTAAAAGAAGTAACAGATTCAGAAGGCCAGAAGTCACTGAAGATGTATCTAGCCTGAAAAATAAGAATGACTTAGGCAAAGAAAGATGGGGAGGAAATTTTAGGCAGAGGGGCCTTTGCGGCTTGGACCTGGTTTCTTGTACCGATGTGAGCCATGTAGTAGTGTTGGAGTAGGCATGCTTCCCAGGCCTGCTGAGTTCGGTGGTCCTGAGCAAGACTAGAAGAGGCAGCTACCACTCAGCTGCAAAAGCATCTCTTAGCATCCCAGCCAAAGATGAGCTCCTGGCCTGTACCGCAGCTGCTGGGCTGTTCTGAGTGGCACAGCCCCTGGAGTTAGGGTGGAAATGGGTGTGATCCCTGGTTTCAGGTAGTGAAACTAAGGTCAGGGAAGAAGAGAGTCTTGGTCAAGGTCACAGGGAGTCACCCTTCAGCCACATTTCCTAAAGCTCATAATACACAATACAAAAAAGAGGAATGAGGACAAAAGTCTCAGGAAAAGTCATGCACTCTTGTCCCCACAATGTCCCTCTGAATGCCTAAGGAGAATAGATTGTAATTATTTACTGCAGCTTTCCACAAACATATTTAGTCTGAGAAGTCCCTATGACAGTTTTTTCAATTGTTTTCGACATGCATGTCACTGTAGGTAAGGGAACAATTTGGGTAAATGGGGCCCTGGAGGAAGAGCCCTGATCCATGACAGACCCACATCATCCTGGTCCTAAATCCCAAGCCTGATACAGTCCTACACTACTGCCTTCAGGACATGAAGGTCCCAGCACTGCCTCTCCCTTTCTGGAGCACCAGGCCCTGAATCATAAATAAAGACAGGTTCTGTTCACAGAATGACTTGGTCAATGTTGGGGTAAGGTCAGGTGACTCTTAACCTACTCTATCTGTAGGCCACTTGGCATCTCTGTTCTCAAGAGATTTAAGACATAACCATCTCTTGTTTTCTGGGCCCCATTTGTCAGCCCACAGTGAGAAGGCTAGGATAGTCCAAAGTTGAGATTATACATATAAAAGACTCCTAAGGCTTGTTCTCCTTACGACAGGGAATAAGAGGCAGAGCGACTTTAACCGCTGCCTCTTTAACATTGAAACTGAAGACCTGACCTAGGGACTGAATAGGTCAAAATAGATCTAGGTTCTAAATATCTGAGCTGACCACAGGAAGTACTAACATACCATTTCTACATATGTGTTCTAGTCTGCACTTAGTGAGACATATCATTACGTGCTTAGAGATGAGGATGAAAAAGAAAGGCACTAGCCATGGCTGAGCTGCACCAGGCTAGCACCCATCCATAAGGGCCCATTGCACCCACCTATAAATGCGGACTGCAAAGGCTCAGTTAGGACAAGTTACTTTCCCGGAGCAGGCATCCTTGATAAGCAGAATAACGTCCTCTGCAGTAACAACAACAACAACGTACGGTATACCAGTGCCGAGGTGGTACCTGGTATTAATAACAGCTCTACAAAGTACGGTATACCAGTGCCAAGGTGGTATATGGTATTAATAACAGCTTTCCGGTTCCTTTTAGAAAGTACGGTATACCAGTGCCGAGGTGGTACCTGGTATTAATAACAGCTCTCCGGTTACTTTTAGAGGAGAAACAGTATCGGTTGAGCAGATCAATTTCCTGTTTTCCAATTTACATTCCTTACAACTTAATGCCTCTCGTTAGGATCTGGGTTTAGTTATTAAAGTATGCAAACTCTCCAACGTAGGATCAATGATTGCAAATCCCGAATCCTCAAAACTGTTTCGCTTGGGTGGTGCCAAGCCTACGTACAATACTGTTGGAGAGGAAGTTGCGGCAGGTGAGAACAGAGTGGGCTGGGGAAATGGAAACACGGTGAAGAACTCTGGCTGGGTTTCTCCATGAGAAGAAATGGCCCAGAGTACCTACGACCTGAGACTGAGACAGACCACATGCTTCAGTGCTGTGTGTCCGGGTTCTAACAAATGAAGGAGGACATGTGCCGAGAAGCAAAGGCAGGCATGCTGATTAGTTTTTCACCAACTTGACACAAGCTGGAGTCATCTGGGAAGAAGGAGCCTCAATTAAGAGAATGCCCCCATCAGATTGGCCTGTAAGCAAGTCTGTGGGCATTTTCTTTTTAATTTTATTTTTTTAAAAAAGAAAACAAACTATCTTTTTTCATTATACATACCAATCCCAGTTCCCACTCCCTCCCCTCCTCCCACTTCCTCCACCTTTCCTCCCACCCCACTCCCATCCACCCTTCAGAGAGGGTAAGGCACATTGTTTTGGGGAAGGTCCAAGGCCCTCCCTACTATATCTAGGCTGAGTAAGGTATCTATCAAAAGAGAATGGGTCTCAAAAAGCCAGTGCAAGCAGTAGGAATAAATCCTGGTGCCACTGCTAGTGGCCCCTCAGTCTGCCCCAGTCATACAACTGTCACCCACATTCAGAGGGCCTAGTTTGGTCCTATGCTTGTTCCTTCCCTGTCCGGCTGAAGTTGGTGAGCTCCCATTAGCTCAGGTAGACTATTTCAGTGGGTTTCTGTGGGGTATTTTCTTGGTTAATGTGAGAGGACCCCAATCGACAATGGATGGTACCACCCCTGGGCACATGGTCCTGAGTTAGCTAAAAAAGCAAGCTGGGTGAGCCACAAAGAGCAAGCCAGGAAGCAGTGTTCCTCTGTGGGCACTGCTTCGGTCCCTGCCTCCAGATACCTGCCTTGAGTTCTTGCCCTGACCTCTCTTAACAATTGCCTGTGATGAGGAAGTGTAAGTCAAATAAACCCTTTCCTCCCTCAAGCTGCTTTTAGTCATGATGCTTGTTACCGTTCAGATGGAATATCTTTCCATGGCCTCAGAACATCCCCAAAGGGTATGTGTGTACCTTGCATGTACTGACGACTAATTGTTAGAAAGAGAATTTTTCAGCCCTCCCTTTTAATGCTTAACATAACCCTGCTGACATTACCATGTGTCAGGCTGCTCACTGGGTCCTTGGGGTGATGAAAGGTGTGGCTTCCACTAGAAAAGGGAGCTCAGATGTGATCCTCTTCTCTCTAAGGAACAAGAGTAATAGCTCCCTTGTCATGAGTTATGGTCATCAATGCCACAAAAATGCTACACTTTTCTCTGTGTTTGTCCCATGCAGGTGTTCATGCTGTGACTGCATCAGCGTTCCCCGGGAAGTGTTCTGATCCTCCAGATGGTACGATAGTGGGTTCATCCCTGGGCAAGGCTGTGTTAGGAAGGCAGGGCTGGAGAGACGGCTTGATGGTTAAGAGCACTGACTGTTCTTCCAGAGGTCCTAAGTTCAATTCCCAGCAACCACATGGTGGTTCACAAACATCTGTAATAGGATCTGGTGCCCTCTTCTGGCATGTAGAGCACTCATACATAAAATATAAATAAATGAAGTTTAAAAAAATTACAGAGAGCTGAGAAAGTCATGCCTGACCGGAGCAAACAGCAATCCTATCTTTACTTCATGTTCGGAGATAAGAATGCTATTCATCCAACCACTATAACATGGGATACCAGAATGACAGAGAAGAACATTTATTTCCTTCCCCACATAGACCTTCTGTTATAACAATGCTGTGCCTTTGACACAAACCACGTGTGGCTATTTAAACTTAATTAAAAGTAATTGGAAGAGAAGTTTCAGCCTCTTGGCTGCAAACATTCTGGGTAATCAATAAGCTGGATTTGGCTCTGGCTATGACTGCCATCCACAATTGAAACACACAAACAAGAGGCGCACCCATCCATGAAGCAAGTTTGCCTTGTTCCTTGGGCTTCCTCAGTATTTAGCATGGTGTGCTGCACAGGAGGAGCCTGTACCTGTAGAGCCTGAGTTTCCTCCTGAAGTAAACCACGCCCTCTCAGTGATTCCCCGTAGGCCATTCCTGAGCTGCTGTGGCAACTTTCACTTCCGTTTGTGAACGGACCCTTCCCTCTGCCTGGGAGGAAAATGGCATTTGCTTAAGGTCCTGTGTTTTGCCTGCGCGTTCACACTGATCCAATTCAAAGTGCTGTTGATGGAGGCAATCCGGGGATAGCCAGGGTGCTGCATCTCCCTTTAAGCCTGAGCCCTAGTGGGTTCCCATAACCTCCAGTCCCTCCCATAAGCTAGCAACCTGCAAAACAGAAACTCTGATGGGCAGTGAGCGGAGGGTGGGATCTCCAGAAATAGGGAAGAACGGGCTACGCCCTCCTGGCCAGTTCTTGCAGGATCATCCTCCTCCCAGGAGAGAAAGAGGAAAAGAAGGCAAATCACTTTCCACTTGGTTCTGCTTCTCCTAAATAAACTGCTTGCCTAATTTCCTCTGCAGCTAGAGAAATGATCCTTGTGCAAGCCGCTGTTTCCACACATTCAAACCCTGTGGACCCCACCGGCCTCCCAGAGGCGTTTGCATTTCCAGTCTCCCTGGGTCCCTCCGTCCCAGAAGCTTTAGCTGTCTCAGGAGCTTTGTTGGAAGACAAAAATCAAGAGCAAGTCACACTGACTGCAACCAGCAGATCCTGCCACAGAGTATCCTGGCTCCGCTGGGCTGCAGAGGAGGGCCGAAAGAGGTTCTAGAAGGTTCCATCTTGAGGCACAAGCCCTCCTGGTATGGCCATGAATGCATCCCCGAATGGCGCCAGTTTCTTGGAGGTCCTGCAGCAAAAGGATTTAAGAAAGTCAAATCAATCTAGTTACTTAGATCACATTAGTAAAGCCTGCTTTCTAACCCAAGCTTGTACCTGGAAAGCCTGTGGGTTGCAGAGAGTGCCCACTTAGCTAATAAAGCCTCGCTTCTTTCATGGGTAAAAACGCATCAGATACACTCAGACTACCAAAGAATAGGACCCTTCCACCTCTGGAGGTGTGAAGGAAGTGCTTGTGAAATACCTGGTAGGGTAGTGCAGCCTTGAGTGAGGTTTACCTGTGTGCTGAGGGCTGTGCTGCCAGAAAAACCTTGAACTTGTGTTTGCTGGATTAGCAACCCACTCCCTCCTTCCCACAGCACCACAATCCTACTGTATCTTCTTGACCTGGAAGAGAACAATTCACTCAGACCGAATTCAAAGCACCTTTCAGAGTTTATAGAAACAATATCCAGGAAAAGTACACCAGCTGGAAATCTCACATGGAATAAACACAAGGTGCATGTTGTTAGGGAGGAGGGTACCTGGGTTTTGAGCATGTTCTCTGCATCATCACCATTGAAGCAATCCTCCTGCTTCAGTCTACCAAGCAACGGCAATTACAGACACTTACAATTTCACCAGAATGAAGGACAAATGTAAAAGCTAGATGGAAATCTGTGATCTTATGATCCAAGTTGAAAATACAATTAGGCCCTGTGTGGTGGCAAACACCTTTAATCCCAATACCTGGATGATAGAGGCAGGAGGACCTCTATGAGTTCTTAGCCACCCTGGTGTATATAACAAGTTCCAGGCCAACAAGAGTTCCATAATGAGACCTTGTTTTTCAAAAAGAAAAAATATAATATAGTCATAGGGAGTAATAGGCCAAAGGTAACAGAAGAGAACAGAGGCTACTCCAGGTTAAGTGGGGATGGGGACAGGGTGAGGAGAACAGAGAAGACGGTAGAAGGATGCCTGAAGAAGCCTTATGAAAGTCCACAAGTTTGTGAGCTAATTAAAGAATAAAATAAAATACTTTGCAAAAAAACACTTTCCATGATAAAAACATAGTAAAGGAATTTGTGACCAAGCCAGTTCTACACAAGCTATCAGAAAGAATACTTAGGTTCAATAAGCCCACCTCACCATCAAGTAAAAACAGTACCAAGCTGGGTGTGGTAGTGCATGGCTTTAATGCCAGCACTCAGGAAGCAGAGGCTGGTGGAGCTCTAAGTTCAAGGCCAGCCTGGTATACGAAGAGGTTCCAGGACAGTCAGGGCTACTCAGAGAAACCCTGTTTTGGGGGGCAGGGGAATACAATTCTATAGGGTAAAGGAATGACAAAGGGAATTCCAAGCAAATGAAACCAAGAAATATATGGGTGCAGCTATGATACTGTTTGATAGAATTACTTCAAAGCAAATCTAGTCAGATAAGGAGAGCCACCCCACACTCACTAAAGGAAAGACCAGCCAAGAGGATACCATGATTCTGAGCCCATAGATTCGAGCTGCTCTCGACTTTGGTTTCTTTTGGCTGTGAATAGTGGTTAACACTGACTCTCGCGTCTTGTCAAAGTGCCACAGATAAGTAATTGTTAGGCTCAACCTCCTCCATCCAAGGCTCAGGGACCATCACAGAAGAGTGGGCAGCAAGAATGTAAGAGCTGATGTGTGAGGAGAGCTGTGAAATATTGGCTCCTGGACATGCCAGGGCTGCCAAACACATCAACTCCAGCAGCTGGGGTTACCTGTGCAAGACCTACCCAAGATCAAACCAGCAAAAATTCCAGCAAGGTCCCACATTAGCAGGGGAGCTATTAGCAGCTGATGGCTGTCGAGGTAGCAGCACTCTACAGACAAGATCCCACCCACTTGCATGTGGACAGCAGAGTGGAGTCAGGAGCTCTTAAAATAAAACAAAAACAAAAAAGGAGTCCGTGAAGTTGAGAGAGTGCTGGGGTGAAGACCACTAGGGAGAGCTGGAGGGAATTAACAATGGATGGATATGGGCAAAATTCATTGTTTAAATGTATAGAGTTTTGAAAGGATACAACTTTTTTTAAAGTTTTATGAGAATTTTAAAGCATCTAAATTCACTGCTAAGACATGAAGAAACTCCCAAACCTGAGTTTTATAGCAAATCAATGAACTGAAATTTTCTAATTCCGAGTTGGAATTCCTTGCAAGGGTACCAAAACTCAAAACTTTTTTCAGGGAAGGATGTAAAGAATTTCCAGAGCCTTGGCCGAGCCCTGGCGAAAATCTGAGAGGCGCTCGCCCCCTAGTGGCAACGGCAGGCAAGACCAGGAAGTCGATTTCAGGGACCGTCCCAGTTTCCAGAGATCTTAAAGGTAGGGAGAGCGCAGTGTCCACCACCAGGGGGCAGACACAGGGTTACTCCCCCGCCCCGAAGTAAATGTGTTTTATCTGCGTCCTTTACTTGTGGGTTGATTTTGAAATGACCTTTAGAACTCAACAATCGTGTCTTCTGAAACCAGTTGTATAAACTCTGATAATGCTAGGCCCACAAAAGCTATGGACACCCTCACTCTGAAGCCCAGAGGCCTCTTGTTTCCCCAATTCTCACCTATGGACAACACTGACCTCTGCTGGTCAGAGTAGGTGGAGTCCGCAAGAACTTAGAGCTGGCAGCTTACCACACTGTAGTCACTAGGAGCTCACCGGGCCAGTGACACAGACCAAGCCATGACGAAGAATGACAGGAAATGATAAGATGTTAACAGATCTGGGCTCAAATTCCAAGCGAGGAAATCTTTGCTTAGGTGAGCCGTGAGAGGGTTTCACTGCTCCTCTGACTCCAGGGTGGCCTTAGGGACGCTGAGATGCAGTGGTGTAGGAAATCACGGCCAGGTGCACAGAAGGCCTTTGAAGAGTCGCTTCCTTCCAGAAGTCATTCAAATCCCTTACGCTCTTAGCACTGCTTAGTCTGTCATATAGTTATCAAAATGAACTTCACAGTGAAGAGACCCAGAGAGTTGGGAGGAAGACAAACACCCACTTGGGGTATCGGATACCAACGCTATCTTCTGGAAGCATTTTCTTGTCATGTTGCCCCATTTACTGACGATGGCTCTGTGCATTTTTGAATAGGCACCTGAATTTACACTAGTCATTTGGCTCTGTTTTTACCAGTTATGTTTGTAAGATGGAAAATTCCAATATCCATCAATGTGGATGGAGTTATTTAAAAAAATAAAAAGAAACAAAGAAAGCCTGTGATTTATCCATATCGTGGGTACTATTCATCAGGAAAAATGAACTAACTACTCTACAAGTACCAGCGTAGTAACTATATTCCCTTGAGGAAGTCAAATAAGAGAGTATAGTGTCTGATTCTATTTACGAGAATTTTTATAAGAGGAGAGCTGCTTGTTTGTCCCAGCCACTCAGAACCGAAATAACCACACAGAAATTGTATTAATTAAATCACTGCTTGGCCCATTAGCTCTAACTTCTTATTGGCTAACTCTTACATCTTAATTTCACCCATTTCTGTTAATCTGTGTATCACCACGAGGTTGTGGCCTAACAGCAAAGTTCCAGCACGTCTCCCTCTGACTCCACCCTTCCTCCCAACATTCAGTTCTCTCTTCCCTGCCTACCCTATCAACAGGCAAAAGCAGTTTCTTTATTCATTAACCAAGAAAAGCAACACAGAGACAGAAGGACCTCCCACACCAAATTTTAGCAAATGCAAGCTAATATTTGGGGACTCTTTTGGCTTGAGTTTTTGTCTGGTTTTGGCCTTTTGAGACAGGGTGTCTCTGTGTAGACCAGGCTGGTCTTGAACTCACAGAGATCCACCTGCCTCTGCCTTCCGGGTGCTGGGATTAAAGGCATGCATTACCATTACCTGGAAGTTGAGTAGCTACCTGGTGTTGGTTGGGGATTGGGAGTAGTGAGTAGGAGAATTACAAAAGAACACACAGGCACTTTTCAGAGTGGTGATGTAACTGTAAGCTTGACTAGATGAGGAACATGTCTCGGTGCACCTGTGAGGGCATGCCAGGGTATACACAGGCTTGACTGGATGAGGAACATGTCTCAGTGCATCTGTGAGGGCGTGCCAGGGTATACACAGAGGGGTCAATCTTCCCTGAGTAGTGCATGGAGGGGCTGGACCAGAATGAAATGAAGGAGAGGATATTAAGTCCACTGCTTTTCAGGCATATTCTCTCTCTCTCTCTCTCTCTCTCTCTCTCTCTCTCTCTCCTTGCTCACCTTCATGAGACAACCTGCTCTTTCCCACCACGTCCTCACTGCCATGACAGACTGAGACTTCTGAAACTATTTATCAAAATAAATCTTTTCTGCTCAGGTATCTGGTCACAGTGACACAAAGTCTGACTATTATGTGTGTAAATGAGCATTCCTTGAAAAAAAACCAAAAAAACCTGTGTCTGCAAAGCCTAGTTGACTGGTTAAAACATAAATGGTGGGGGGCTGGAAAGATGGCTCAGTGGTTAAGAGCAGTGGCTGCTCTTCCAGAGGTCCTGAGTTCAATTCCCAGCAACCATATGGTGGTTCACAAACACCCATAATGAGATCTGGTGCCCCTTCTGGCCTGCAGGCAGACATACAGGCAGAACATTGTATGCATAATAAATAAATATTTTTAAAAAACATAAAAGGTGTAATGGTGTGAATAAGTTGAACTGTTTCTGTTTGAAGAGCCTAGGGACAATTTTTTCTAGGTGATCTTTAGCTTATTAAATAGCTATTCCCTGCTCGGGTCTGTGTTGAACCTAACATCCCGACAGACTATTTAAAAAATTAGAAAGTATTAACAAAACCATAGTTTTTCAGTGTTCAAAGG